TTTATGTATGTACTTATGTATGTATTTATGTATGTATATTTATATATGTTATTTATGTATATTTATATATATTATATATGTATATTTCTACATACATACATACATACATACATACATACATACATATATATATATATATATACATATATATATATATATATATATATATATATATATATATATATATATATATATATATATATATATATATATATGTATATATGTATATGTATATATATATATATATATATATATATATATATATATATATATATATATAGTATATATATATATATATATATATATATATATATATATATATATATATATATATATATATATATATATATATATTTAGAGCTATATTGTAAAAATATTTATTTTTTTAGAAAACGATTCTAGAAAAGAAACAAGACTCATTGCAAATTAACTAGTTAGCAATATTATTAAAAACTTTTGGTTACTTGCATGTATTCCAATGTCCAACAGAAAAAACTGTGCTGATCAGATTGTCTGTTTGGTAAAAGAATATAAAATACTGAAAGAAATTACTTAAAGTAGAAGATAAGAAAAGTAAAGCAAAAAACTACAACTTTTACATTGAAGTCTGTTTGTTTATATCATATACACTTACACATCGCTGAACAACTCTGGTAACGATGAGTGGCTTATTGACTGGGAATTCTTAAAAAGCCAACAAAAGACCAACTCAAAACTTTAGCACGAGGTGGCGCAGCTTTAAATGATATCACACTTTCTAAAACATCAGTTTATAGAGCAAGATCAGCTAACAGTATTGAAGAAGCTAAATTAATTGAAGAAACTTGTATTCCACCTGAATTTTTGGAAATTGATTGGGATGGAAAAACTATCAAGCAAACTACTGTAAAAAAGGAAAACTTGCTGTATATGAAGGGCCATCTTCAAATTTGCTAGGTACTCCTAAAATTGCCTACAGATGTGGTCAAATGCAATATTGTTCAGTGATGAACCTAGTTGATAAATGGCAATTAAAAGCATCTGTTTTTGCACTTGTCTATGATACAACATCTGCAAACAGTGGAGTGTATAATGGGCCTGTAATTCTAACTGAGAAGCAAATTAGTCATTCTCTACACCGCCTTAAATGTAGACATCATATTCCAGACCTCTTTATAAAAGCAACACCCAATGCTATTTGTGGTCCTAGCAAATCACCAAGAGTTCAGCTGTTTGAAAGGTTCAAGGAAGAACTTCATAACCTTAACAAAAATATAAAGAATTTAGAGTACGGGACTGGCCTAAAAATAGTTTTTTTTTCAACAAGCACTTGAAGTAAAGAAATGGGCAATAGAATGCTGGGAGAAAAAACATTTTCTCCTAAGGACTATTGAGAACTAGTGGAGCTTATTCTTTTTTTTTTTGGTGGACATTAAAAATGGTTTCAGCAATCGGTATGTCGGTTCTGATCATCATGCAAGGTGGATTTCAAAAAGCATTTATTATACAAAAATATTTCTACTATATTGTACTTTTGAAATTAATGATAAAGGTTGAGAGGAAGAGTACATTTGCATTTTTTTATGGTTTCTTTTTATAAGTTTCTTTTTTAGTTATTTTTATTAGTTTCTTTAATCTGCTATTATTGCTGCTGCTTCAGCTAACGACCTGCATTTCTTTTATTTAATGAGGAAATTTAAATCAATCGACCTTGAAAGTAGAGAAGACCATCAAGTCTTTTGAAAAACACCTGGGATACTTATCTAAGGAGAGGATGATGGGTCAGAAACTTGTAAACTTACCAAGACCTAAAGTATTCACTCCTTATAAACCAAAGCATCTTACAAATAGTCTTACATGAATAAAATTTTGTATCATTATTTTTTAATGATTAATAATTAAATTGTGTAAACCCCACTAAGTAACAACAATAATTAATGGATAAAATGTTGCACAACAGTTGTACTGTTATTTAAACTTTTAATGTTTTGGGGAGGATCTAAAATTACAAGTGATAACATTTGTTCTAAAAAAGCGTTTTTAGATCAAATTTTATTACTGGTAAAAACCCATGATCAAAATTTAAAAAAAAGTTTAAAGCCTGGTAGGATAGTCTGATACAGACCAACCTAATAGGATAGTCTGGTACAGATCTTGTTTCATCATCATTTGTACCAAGTAAAGTTGCCCTGCTCAATATGCATAACCAAACCATAATGAATGCTTGGTGCTTTACAGTGTTTAAAATTCATTCTGGCTAGTGTTGTTCTCTTGGTCTGCAGAAAATATTTTTAACTATTCTTAAATATTTTTAACAAAAAAGAGGATTTAAAAACTTTGAGCTAAAATTTGAAACAAAAATTTATAAAAAAAAACAAAATAGAAATATAATTTGGCTTAAATTAGAAAAGTGTTTTTAAAATTAATAGACAAAAATTTCCTTAAAATAAATTGCACAAAATTTTAAACGGAAATACTATTAAAGTAAGCTATAGCTGTACAAAAAATATTAAAAGAATTATAAAAGGCCACAATATTGCATTAATTAATAAAAATTTATTTCTTAAAGAAAAAATACTGAAAATTGTAATTGCAAACAAAAAATTGATTGCCCTTTGAATGGAAAACCATTATCAAAAGATATTATTTACAAATGCATTGTTTCCTCGCAAAACAACCCTGATAAACAATTTATCGTTTTACTGAAGGCAGAAAAAACTTAATGCCAACCACAATCAATGTTTTAAACAAAAAAAATACTCAAGAGACTATACTGTCAATATATATTTGGTAACTAAAAGAAAAAATTATTAACTTTAAATTAAACTGGTTTATTCTAAAAACTGTGCCTGCCTATAACATTTCTAAAAGAAATTCTGAAAAATGTATGTTTACAAAAAAATTTAAAACTATTAGTCATTTGGATCAAGAAAATTTACTTTACAAAAAATCTGAATTAACTTCTAAATGCAGAAATTAAAAAAAGTATTATTTAAAAAATTATAAAAACTAATGACCATCTAAAATTTTCCAAATTCTATATAATTCTTTTCGCAAATAATTTTTTTATTTTTATGTAGTTGATGTAACATTCCTGGTTGCAAATTAACTGCGTTTATTATATTTATAATTGTGGTACTTAAAAAAAGCAAAATAATATATAAATTTCAAAAATAATAATCGTTTTATAAAAAACATTAAAAATAATTTTTTTTTTATTAAAATCTTGTAAAAATGCTCTTTTTTTATTTCTAGTTAAAAAACTATAGTTTTTATACAATAAAATCTAAAATATAAATTGCAGTATGAAATGAATTCTTTTTTTAATTTTTATGTAATTTTGCTACTTTCAAGACCTAACATGACATACTTTTGAGAAACTTATTTTTTCAAAATATTAGGGACCTGTTAAAAAGAGAAGATAATTGAGCTGTCCCTAAAACACATTATTTAAGCTTGCAATTTCGAACTAATTCAATTACTTGACCACAAACCTCATTAAATCATTAAGGGGTAGACTAATTAAAGTAAAAATTAAAACAGTTCTTTAAAGAAACAAACAAAAAAAAAAAAAACTATAAAAAAACACCCAAAATGGACAACAGGCTGTTCCCCATTTTAGGTGTTTATAGTATGCAACTTTACAATAAGTTTTTCATAGATAACTTTCTAAATTGAACAGATTGGTAATACATGATGGACATAAAAATTTAAAAGTCAAATTCCAGGACATTTCCAGGACATTTTGTTGCGTTTTCCAGGACATTTTATATCCCATTAAATGAATATTATCAATTATCTTTACGTTATATTTTTTTCATATTGATTTAATTATAGAATAGAATATTATATTAATATTAGAGTTTATCTTTTGATAACTTTCTTAAATCATTTAAAGTAACTATGAAACTGAAATCTTTTTTTCCCTCTGCTTTTAATGCAAATTTATCTGCTTCTTTTATTAAACCATAAGCTGATGCTTGAAGTTGTTTCTTTTTTCAAACAACATTAATTTCAATAGAAACAGCTTTTCTTTTTAAACATACAGCTGATATCTCTTGAACTTTTTTGCACTTTCCAACGCAACTTCATATCGCATTCTTGATGATTCAACAGATTTCAACATTTCTCTAGTAATTGGAATATCAGCAGCATTTTAGCCCTTTGATGACATGTGATCATTTACTATTTGTAAAGCAATTAGTGAATCTTCACTTAAATTTTCAACTAAATAATCCTTATTTACTTTGAATCCACGTTCAATGGCAGCCTGGCCATGAGACAAACAAAATTAAATTATGCAGACATCCTAAAGAGATGTATATCCATTTACAGGTATATACTGAGCAAGTAATATATCCAAGCTATCTTCATATTTTTTGAATGACAAAAAATCTGTATCATGTTTATGAACAACATTTATTATAAATTGAAAACACTCTTCATTTGCTTTGTCACCAACTTTTAGTTTTAAAGATCCAGAAACCACTAATTTTTGTAATAATTTAGAAAACTTTAATTTGTTACACTCTAGTTCTCCGCTATCTGCTAATTTAATTGGATCCAGACAAGATGAACACCTGACAATAAGACATTTTATGGAAGATTTTTCTAACATGTGAGTTGTATATTAAATACTCAATCAGTCAAGTATTAAATACTTGATTCTATTTACATATATTTACTTTTTTTTTCTATTAAAAACAATTGTATTGCAATTAAGTATTGATTTTTACACTTTTATCTTTTATCAAATTTTTGATACTTTTCTTAATAATTTAAAGTTGAAATTGATTTTATTTTTAATAATAAGTCTTAATATTTTAATAGTCTTTCTAAAAACATGTAACTTAAAAAAAAATTTAATCAGTCGAAAAATACCATCAACATTACTTTTAACATTAGAAATACGAAACAGTATTAAAAGCAATTTAAATGAGTAACTTACATCATTAATGATGCTTTTCTTAAAAAAGAAAAAAAAAATTTAATAAAAGAACAAAATATTAAAATAACTGTACCATTGATAAATTTTTTACTAATCCTCTTGCAATACCATCATCACGACCTTTAACAAAAAATGATATAGCTTTTCCAGCATGACCAGCTCTTCCTGTTCGTCCAATTCTGTATAGATAAGTTGATATATCATAAGGCAAATCATAATTGATGACAGTTTTGACTTCAACAATATCAAGACCTCGTGCAGATACACTTGTGCATATCATTATTGGTTTGACACCAGTGTTGAACTGATGTAACGCATATTCTCTGTCATTTTGACATCGATTGCTGAATAGGAAAATTTAAAAAGCAAATATAATTTAACATCAAAACAAAATAAGCAACTAAAAAATTAATACCAATAAAACAAAAATTAAAAAAATTTTTATTTTGCAGTACTTGTGAAAGACCGTCACTTGAAAGCCACAGCTACATAAAAACATAGCCATTGCAGCTGCATCTTCTTTGGTTTCCAAAAATACAATGGTCTTTTTATTTTGCTTTGATTCCTTGTTTAAAATATCTGTAAGTATTTTTAACTTTGGTGTATCAGGCTCGACTTTAAAAAAAGACTGAGCAATAAAATTAACTGTTCCACCAACTCTGCCCACACAAACAAAAATGTATTCATCTTTGAGAAACTCTTTAAGAACTTCTTTAAAATCTGATTTAATATATTCGCATATATTTGGTCCATAAACAGCTTTTTCAAATTGGCCAGGTATTGAGGCACAAACCAAAACTGTTTGTCTTTTTTTGATTGGCGGTAAAATATCTTTTAGTTCATTAAGATCATTAACAAAATTGTTTCCCAAGATATGATCGGCTTCATCCAAAACAAAAGTTTGAACCTTTGATAATAAATCCTAAATCATGAAATAATAAATATTGATTTGATCATATTCTGATTGTTAGAATCAAATTATTAAAATTATTCGTGTATATGTCCACGGGCGCTTAGGAATTTAGAGAAATTTAATTTATTTTATCTATTTATTTTATTTTAGATATTTCATTTGAAAATACAGAAGTATTTGAGTTACACAAATATTTTTATTTTATACACTTTTATTAAATTCATATTATTCATTTTTTATTAAAGATATTCAATACCAAGTACTTTTGTTCATTTTAACAATTGCAACAGATTCAAGAAGTAGTAGAAGTGTTGAACAAAATTTAGAACTGTCTAAGGATTCATCAATACATAAATCAAAAAAAAAAGAAATTGAAAAAAATTGTATGAAAGTTTGAATACAAATACCTCTGATTAACTCGAAGTTGATAAAAAATAGGGGACATTGAACAATTTAAAATATAATGAAATTTTAAAAACTTTGGGAGAAATTAAGACGGATTTTCACAATTTAGATTTCAGTTCATCAAAAGTTAGTTATAAAATGCAGAAAAAAAGCAACTTTGCAACTTTATCTATTTTTTATAGAATTATGTGGAAGAAAAGGGAAAAGAAATTGCCTTTAGTGCTCCTACAAGAGCACTACAGGCAATTTCTCTAGGAATTATATTGCATGTATTGAACTACTAACAAAATTTGATCAATTCTTGCAACATTAGATGCATAATTATGCAAATAAAGGCAAGAAGGACATTTTATATTAATTATATTAAAAGTGGAGTTTGTGACAAATTATTTATGTCTGAAATTTTATAACTTCTGAAAAGTGCTATTTTTTCAATCAAAATTGATACCTTCCGATCAGGACAGTTCGATATGTTAACACTGTAGGGATGCCAGTAGAGATATTTTTATGCTTAGCGAAAAATGTAGAACACGAGGAAAATATGTAATCAAGTATATTTAGGAAAATATGTAATCAAGTATATTTACAAATTTAGACATTAATCTTTAGACATTAATGATGAGTCGTTTTGACAAAAAACCATTAGTTTTTTAGCACAAAAAATGCAATAACTTCGGATCCACTTAACTTCTAGAGTTGAAAGACCCCTTAGTTTTTAAATTTATATTAAGTGGAAACAAAAAGATGTAATTGTATTACATAAGGCGCGAGAATAATTTTTGATGTCAAGTAGATTGTAATTTAAGTGGCTTTTTAACTGATAATTATTATAAATATTTTTGCATGGTTTAAGTGTAGTTGTAATATGTTTACACGGGTTTTAAAAACCTGCGTAAACATATTACAATCTTTGAGATTTATGAATCAATACAAACTGTTAGTGAAATTTGTAAGAGACAGGTTTTAATTGAATTGAGAAAAGATTTTAATTTTAATGTTTTATTTATGTGAGAAAATTTCAAGCTAAGCGGGCATGGATTCGAAAACGAAAGTGATTGCTGAAATGCAGAACAAAAATACTACTTTTTATAATTTTTTTTTTCGAAAAAATGCTTATTTCAGAGATAGTAGTTTCAAACAAAAATGAAGTTAATAAAATTGAAATAAAAAAGAAAGATCATGAAGGAGTGTTTAATGGTATTGAATATAAAGTCAAATGGAAATGGAGAGATAGAGATGGATCCGAACAACTGTTTAATAAAGTTGTTCAATGCGAGATACCAAAATGTGCTAAAGCAGAATATGAAAATGAAATTCAGGATTGTATCAAGTAAAAATAATTACTTGAGTATGACAAAAACGTGATGAGACCGACCAATAGACAAATTTCTTTATAAGCTATGATTCAATAAAATTAATTGAATACAGCTTCACCTGTTTTGGATTGGGGAGAAGCTAACAATTTCATTAAGGCGTATACAAGAGATGCAGATGTGTGCATTTATAAGTTAAAAGTGGAAAACAAACCAGCAATCATGGACCTAAGCAAGGCTTATCTCTAGTTAAAAACTAGGATAAATCTCTAAAACTTAGTTTTATGGTTCTGAGGCCAGCTGGTAGTCAGGTTTTCCGAACTCTGTGGTAGCTTTCAGAGAGGCTGATTCCATCAACAGCTAAAAATTACCAGAGTACTAACAGTGCCATGTTGCGCATGGATTGTGTCCCTGTTCGTACTTTTGGTATGCATTGTTGAGGCTGCATTTGGAGCACTTTGTTATGGCTTAGGGTTTATTAATAGTAATGAGGCAATTGTTTAGATTATTAAATACTGAATACTACCTATGCTTTGAGTCAAGTTCTTTAAAAAATTTAAAATGACTAAAGTACCATGAATTATAAAACACAAAAAACCAAGTTCTCTAAACCTATAATTCACTAATATTTGTGGTCTTCGAAGTAACTTTTCTTCTGTTGAGTCTTATCTCTTGCAAAATTCACCAGACCTAATTGCTCTTTGTGAGACTAATTTGAGTTCAGCTGTCTCATCTTGTAATCTTAGTGTTGATGGTTATCTTCTTTTATTTCTTAAAGACTCCAATAGTCACATGCTTGGCCTGGGCATTTAGATTCATAAGAATTCACCCATTTATTGGGATATTAGGGTTGAATCCACCGACTATTCTTTTATATGAATTTGTTAAGCACCACTTCACTCTATCACCTTTTTCTTTGTCATATATCGCTCTCCTTCATCTCAAGACTGCACTCTTTTTGATGTTATTTCTGATCAAATTGACCAAGCCCTCTCTTTTTATCCATCAGACAATATTATTGTTGTTGGTGACTTTAATGATTATCACACTGAATGGGTTGGCTCTAGTGTCAGCAGACATTAAGAATTAAAACTTTTGCCTTTCTCAATCTCTAACTCAAATAGTCAACTTTTGAACTTGTTTTCCAGACAACCCGAATCATTTACCTTCTCTACTCAACTTATGTTTTGTTTCTGATCCTAGTCAGTGCTCAGTTTCTCCACATTCACCCTTAGATGTTTTTGATTATGGTTTTATCTCTTTAAAATTGTCATCTCATTCTTCCTCATCATCAGAATTCCCCTATTATCATACCTCTTACATCTACCTTAGAGCTAACTGGGACTCTTTTCATGATTTTCTTTGTGATGGCCTTTAGGTAAAACTCTTTCGTCTTCCTGCTGATAAATGTACTTCTTACATAACTTTGTGGATTCAGGCTGGCATGGAATCTTTTATTCCCTCTTGACAATTCCAAGTCAAGCCTCACTCTTCTCCATGGTTTTCCTCACATTGTGCTGCTGCAATTGCCAATCGAAACCATTGCTTCCATATCTATCAGAAAAATAAAAGACTTTGTCTCCTCACCTAAAGATAAAGCTGAATTGTTTGCTAAGAACTTTTCATTAATATCATCTCTTGATTCTAATAGTTGGAGCTGTCATCTATACTTTTAAAACTATTTAACAAGTGCTTATCAGAGTCTTATTATTGGTCATGTTGGAAAGTGGCATCTGTTATCCCTATTTTCAAAAATTCTGTAGAGCGATCTGACTCATCTAACTACCGTCCCATTATTCCTCTTCCTATCATAAGCAAGGTTTTTGAATCTTTAATTAATAAACACTTAATCTCTCATCATAAATCTAATAACTTACTTTCTGATCATCAATATGGATTTCGATCTTTTCATTCTACAGCCGATTTGCTAACAGTAATAACCGATAGGTTTTATTGTGCATTAGACAGAGGTGAAGAGGTCAAGACTATTGCTCTTGACGTTTCTAAAGCTTTTAATATAGTTTGGCATGTTGATCTTCTCCATAAGCTTTCTTCTTACGGTGCATCAGGTAACATCTTTAAGATTATTAAATCCTTCTTTTTCAATCGTAGTATTAAGGTTGTCCTCGATTACAGCACTCTTCTTTATATCCTGTTGCTTCAAGGGTTCCTCAAGGTTTAATCCTCGGCCCTTTACTCTTTTTAATTTACATTAACTATTTTCCAGGTATTCTCACATCTAAGGTGGCATTGTTCGCTGATGACAATACCATTTATTCTTGTCATGATAAAATGCCAACACACTCTGATCTTCTAGAATTAACTCTTACTTCCAATCTTTCTTGGAAACGGTATATCAAATCCATTACAAAATTAGCATCTGCTAAGGTTGCATCTCTGTAAATCTCAAATATGTTCTTGTATGCAATACCATTGCCATATCTAGGGCAAATCTTCCAATGATGCCCTTTCTCTTTTAGCAAGGGACAAAATCACATTGTAAATATAGTAGGACGTGCTCTTGCAGCCAACCTCCAACCATTATCACATCATTGTAACGTTGCTTCTTTTTCTTTTTTCTACAAATACTATAATGAGTATGGCTCTAAAGAGCTAGCGTTTCTTGTGCCATCTACTAAAATTCATTCTCATGTTACTTGTCATTTAATTTAGTTTCATACTTTTTTTGTGACTGTTCCTAAGTGCTCCAAAAGCTCTTATTTGTCTATTTTTTCCCCACGAACATCAGTTTTTTTGTAATTCGCTTCCTTCATCTTGCTTTCCATAGGGTCTATGTGTTGGGATTTTGTGTGCGAAAAAATTGTGACAAGCTATTGTGGTCTAGAGAGAAATGAGTTGAAGAAATCCCAGAAAAGTTAACCAAGAGAGTACTATTTTTAGTCTGTGGACAGTTGGTGCTTGTAGTCTTTTGAAAAGGAGAGTTGTTAGTTTGACAAAGAGTTGGAACAATGAAGTTTGTGATTAGAATGTAAAAAGTTTTCTTTGAAAAGTCTGTTCTGACGTTGAAAGTTACCAACCAGATGGTTGTGATTGGGCTGTGAATGGCAATAAGACAAAGGTGTGACCTGATACAAGTTCTTTAGTGATGGGTACTGTTATTCAAAATGGTAATACAACTGTGGAAGATGCAAATGGCTGCAAAAAGTATGGTCTGATTTTTATATAAACATGGCAGAGTTAGTTGCAGCGATGAGAGAAATAAATATGGCTTTAGCATGAAAACCGGAAAGTAATAATTTTTACAGATTTTGCGACAGCGTTCCACAGGAT